AAAATGACTTCACACAATTTTGCTTTTGTTCTGCCTGATGCTCTGGTACTTTATTGACCAGACTGACTGTTTTAACTGCGTATTTCTAGTCTCCTTTCCAGTCTTTTTATTTATTTTAATATTTTATTTATTTTAATTTAGACCTTGTTCCTTCCATGATGTTTTTATTTCATTCTTCCTAATACTTTCATTTCAAGCTTTTTTTCTGTTTCTGCCATACTTTTTTTTCTTTTGGCATATCTGTCTTTCTTTTTATCCTCTATATCTTTATTTTTTCTTTGTACTTCACTATATCTTTAATGTATCCCTTTATTTTCTCAGCTGTAACTATATTTTCTTCCTGAAGTCCCCCATCAGTGATCGGGCCAAGGACCTCTGGAGTTGACTGTCTTTGAATGTCATATAAAGATCTCACAGCAGAAACTGAGACAGAAAAATAAAGAAGGAAGAGATGAGACTGGAAAGATAGTTCTGGTCCTTTACTTGGCAAACAATTTGGGAACTCCTGTCCTGCCTGTTCTTATAAAGCAGATACTCTTTCTTCCCTTTAATAAATGTTCCTATTGCCTGTCTTTGAATATCCTTCCTCTTATAATACTTAAAAGTCTTTGCTTCCTTTCAGCTCTTTTCCGTTTCTGCTCACACTACACTAACCATAGTTCCCTTGAAAGAGCCCGTCATTCTTCTTCCACAAAGGTAACGATGCAAGTCTCATCGCATATTCAGGCAGCAGGCATCTACTCCATCTTGAATTTTTTTTTTTTTTGCACAATAAAAATAAAATAATTACTTATGCTCGAGATATGTTGCGCAGTCAGCTTCTTCCGCTGCATTCAATCCTCCTAACCTTTCCCTGCATCTAAGTGGCTGAGAATACACTACTTCACTTCCATTTTAATGAGCACCCCACTCTTAGTGTACGTTTTCAAAACAAAAAAACATTGCAAGAGAGTGTATTGAGAATGCTTTTGTCATTAAAATCAAAACATTTTAAACTGCAGGAGCACACATCAACCCACTTTGATGCCAAGGTAGCAAAGCATGTTTTAATCCATGCACATAAGGATGTGCAGGAGATTAGCCAGATGTTCAATTAGTCCTCCTAGGAAACTCTGTGATGTACTAATATGCCTGTCTGTGCCTATAATCACATAAGTACTGTTGGGTACATACCAGATAAAATTAAAAAATCACTGATTTGCACATTTGGAATCTGCAGACTCTTAAATGTATACCTCTCTGGGTGATACTTGTATGTGAATATTATGGCATTCACAGACTATCTTTTGAAAACTTAAATTCTATAATAAAGCACTTGGTTGTTCCCAACTAAGCATTTTCTTGAGAAAAAAAATGTGTAGATATAAAAACTAGAAGAAAGTTTTAGAAGAAAGTTTGTGGCACACTGTGGGATTCATCTGACTGAATTTAGGACATCAACATTTTTGGTGTTTATGTAACTACTCATTCTGGTTTCCTCTACAGCACTTGAAAAAAGACACCTGCACTGAAGCCATGTGATTTACTTTGTCCTGGAGTAGATGACTAGAAGTGGCCTAAAAGTGCCTATTTCTCTTAATTGACTCAAAAGGGGAACCAAATGTGAAAAGCACTTTTTTCATATCAGAAGGGGAATGCCTACATTTAGATATCTAGTGGTAAGGATGATGGATCCTCCTTGCAGAGTTAAAAGTCAGGACATACGTTCTTATCTCTAGACACACTTTTTAATTATCCAAAAAGACACATGTTGTTCTAAGGGCTGCTCATCTCTTGGAACATGCAAAATACAGAAAATAACTGATTTAATGAACTTAGAAAGGTAAAGATGTTACTCAAAAGCTAAATTTTCCAAACATATTGAAATCTTTGAATGATAATGTGTATATTTCTGCAAACTGGTACCTTGAAACACAATACAATAGCGTTTCACTAGTAAGATGGAAATTAAAATAAATCATTTTATTTTATGATGTGAAAAACCTTAGGGCTTATATTGTCCAAAGTGTCCTCTAATTCTGCTGGTTCAGTTTTATGGCCACAAAACTAGCATCTACCATAAAATGAGTGGACAAATAAGAACTATTGTATATATGTAAACATATTTTATTTTACTGGGTGTCCAGTTGCAACCAGTTATGCCTGCACTATTTTTGCAGCTTGAGGTGTTTGTGGGTTCATAATTACACTTCTGAAATCAGAAGCTGGGTTGGATTGACATACAACACTTTAAGGCATTCTCATAAGATGATGAATTCTCTAACCATTATGTAAGCTATTCCCATTATTATGTTCGTAATAATTACTGACCTTAAATTAACAAAAAAAAAAATATTGTGTTAACACAGGTCACAACTGCAGAAGACACAAAAGGAGGCCTCCGCCTCCTGTCTTGGGACATCTCTGTTTCTTAAGAGAAATGAATGGGGAACTGCCCCTATAGAGCAGAAATCCACGTGCTTTTATGTTGGACTTTAGGTGGGACAGCAGTATGAGCTGATAGGAGAGGGAGTCTTTGTACTGCTCAGGATCTTTATGGCTGCGGTAGTCATGCTCTGCCTGGAAAAACATGGGCAGAATGATCTTGAATGTCCTGCTGCAGGTTTTGTGGCTCCATAGTGTCTGACAAAGCCTCGTCATTTGAAAGGTCTTGAAATCTTCTAAAATTATGTTGTACTGGACATCAAAAATATTTAAAAAAATCCCTTGCCCTCCCTTCTTTATTTTGTTTATGGCAGCAATAAAAGTTAATCCAGCTGGTCAGCTCTAGCTAATACCATTTTGGGGCTTTACCTCAACCCTTGCTTCTTACACACTGAAGACATAAAAACACAACCACATTCTTTATCTAGCTGGATCTGTTCATCTGGATCTGCTTGAGACTCTGTTTTTCTTCTGTGTACAATTTTTTTCATGTTCCTATCTTCAATTCATTGCAGCACGTCCTTACCAAAAGATGAAGTAATGCTGTATAATCAAGTAGTGTTGAGAACCACAAAGGCAGACACAAAAGCCAAAACAGTTCCTTTCATTTCTGATCTGCCCTAATATCTGGTTTTTTCCTAATACATAGAATTATGCTGGGTTTGGTTAGGTTTAATAACATAACTGTTTACAGCTTTTTGGACCAAAATACAGCTTTCTAAGCCTAATATGTTTACCAGGTTCGAAGAGATTAAATATTTAGTACCATATTTTATTATATTTTACTACATTTTCTACTACACACTTAGTAGCCTTTTCTGAGCATAAAAATGTCATACAGAATGGTGATTCAGATTTGGTACCTATATCTCACCTTAGAGGTAAGCTTAAAATATGATACAAATACTGTTAAAAAAATTAAGTCTAAAGGAGCACTGTATTATGTTTGTAGATTTTAAGGCACATTTTCCAAAATGACCTCAGGAACTGTAATTCTGTGTAAGATAAAGTAATTATTGTCCCAATTTTTAGACCATAACTAAAGTCTCCTTTTTTTAGGTCTCCTGGATGGCCTTTATCACCAATAGAAAGAAAGAGGCATCACCAGCAAGTAATTTAGACCTCAGGTAGAGTGGATTGTATCGTGTCAGGTATGTCTGTCTTCTCAGGGAATTACGAACCTTCCCTAGATATCTTACCCAAACGTCCAGTCTTAACTGGGCTGGATTTGTGCCTCACTAGCCTTAGAAATAATTGTGAAAATTTGTCCTGAGACTATACATATTCACTTTAACAACAAACAAAAAGTGGATATTATTTGATTACTTGCAAAGCCCCACACTTAATTTTTCAATTAATTTTTTTAGTTAAATTATGTCTTGTAAAAACTTATGATAGTACACACACAATATGTACAACATGGGAAATATTTCACTTTCAAAGCTTGTAAAGGCATCACTTGAAAAGAAACTAAGTTCTGATCTTCTGCCCAAACTCTTCAGACAATCCACACATAAAACTTCAACTCCATTTTAAAATAATATCCATAAGTATCCCCTATTTATGAAGCATCACCTACAGTTCTGTGTCTAACAACTGAAAAAT